CTAGTTTTCATTTTTCAAAGATCAATGACTATTTTAGGGGACTGATTCGGAGGGTGCGGGGGTACAAGCAGGTAGCAGGAGACAGGCTATTGTAAGAGACTATCGTGGCATGAACCCAGAGAAATGGGAAAATGTCAGGTACAGGTGTATGTTGGAGATGGTATTAATAGAACTTTGGACAGGCTGGGTGTGGAAGGTGAAGGAAAAGGAGAATTCAGAGAGACACCCTAATTTTTCATTTGAGTAACCAGTGGCAGTGATGCCATTTCGTGGGTTGAAGGGTGGAACGGTGGAAAATGCAAACGTCTGATTGCAGTTGGGAGGGTGTGGGCCACCCCGGTGGAGCCATCAGGGGCAGGTGAATATGTCAGCCTGGACTTCAAGGGAGATGTTTATCACATTCCTATGACATTACTATTATTTTATTCATGAAGTTATTATTTATTTTTAATTTATTATTTTATTTTATTTATTTATTTTTAGAGACAGAATCTCGCTCTGTTGCCCAGGCTGGAGTGCAGTGGCACAATCACGGCTTATTGCAGACTTCACTTCCTTGGGTTCAGGTGATCCTCCCTCCTCAGCCTCCCAAATAGCTGGGACTATAGACACACACGACTGCACCCAGCTAATTTTTATATTTTATTTTATTTTTTTGAGATAGAGTCTTGCTCTGTTGCCCAGAGCAAGAGTTGGTCTCAGCTCACTGCAACCTCCAACTCCTGGGTACAAGCGATTCTCCTGCTGCAGCCTCCCGAGTAGCTGGGATTACAGGCACCCTCCACCACGCTCAGCTAATTTTTGTATTTTTAGTAGAGACGGGGTTTCACCATGTTGGCCAGGCTGGTCTTGGACTCCTGACCTCATGATCCACCTGCCTTGGCCTCCCAAAGTGCTGGGATTACAGGCGTGAGCCACTGTGCCCAGCCAATTATTTTTTGTGGAGACAGGGTCTCACTGTGTTGCCCAGGCTGGTCTCCAATTTCTAGGCTCAAATGATCCTCCCACCTTGGCCTCCCAAAGCACTGGGATAACAGGCGTGAGCCACTGTGCCCGGCCCCACAACATTATTTACAGTCATAGGGATGATGCCACCCTGAACCAGCTTGAACCCTGAAAAACCTTAGAGATTGAGGAGAGAAACCAGGACAAGCAGAGAAAAGTGAGAGGGAGCAGCCAGGGATGGGGAAGGGAAGGAGTGAGCAGCTTACACGGAGGCTGAGAGAATCAGGTGCTTCCAGAAGGGGGCTGGGCCAACTGGGCTGCATGCTTCTGAGGCTCTGGGAGCTGAGGACAGAAGCGTGTTCACCGGACTTGGCAGCAGGGAGGGTGTAAGTGACTTGACAAAAGTAGTTTCAGTTGAGGGGGAAAGGGAAGCCGGGTTGGAATGGATTGGAGAGAGAATGAAAGATAAGGAAGTCAAGACAGCTGGTGTAGACACTTTCCAAGAAGTTTTACTGTAAAAAGGAACAGAAAAATAGGGCAATCAATGCAGGGAGGTGTGGGGCCAGGAGGGCAGTTTGTCACCGCTGCTGTTGTTTTTAAAGTCGGGGACACTAGAGCCTGTTCACAGATGGGGAGAGGTTGATGGGCAGTAGAGAGAGGACACCTGGAGAGGTCTTTGGGAAGCAAGAGGGGCTGGGGTCCTAAGCCCCAGGAAAGCTGGACCCTTGCTTATGATTATTATTCTCACAGGATGCAGGAAGAAGGGGTGGGATGGGAAGATGGTTCTGTGGATTTGACAGTGTGCGGTGGCACTTCCTTCCTCGGGGAAGACCGTCTGCTGAGAGGCTCATGGGGAGGAGTGTGGAAGTTTGAGGGAAGAGAAGGCATGAAATCGTTGTTTTCAAAAAGTGACAAAGTGAGCCTACCAGAAAAATCCACACTTACAGGGCTGGCATACTTGAGGACAAACCCAGAGTATGTGACCATGACTTTAAGGTGAGCCCAGCCTGGTCATACCATTCCTCAAGCCACGTTTCTCCAGCTCGGAGGCTGACTCCAGAAAAGCATAGCGGGGGACATGCAGGTGAGGGGTTCCCCAGGAGAGCATGATAGGAGATAGAACGCACCTTGGGAGCTGTGGAGGAGGGACTAGAACTGTGATCTTCTAAGTGAGGCTAGAAGAGGAGGGATGTGAAGTCAGAAGCGGTCTGATGGTGAGGGAGAAAGGGCAGGGTCAAAGGACTGCAGGTACCCAAAGATTATGGCAACTAGGCCCCTGAGCCAAGAGCTGAAAAGATGGATGGGGCAAGGGGAGAGCTTGAAGTGGTGATATCAGAGGAGATATGGTTTCTGGTTATGATTTAGGTTCAGGGTGTGCTTAAAGGAGAAAAGAGCTAAGGTGGAGTGTCCCTGCAATTCATTCACTCACTTATTCATTTGATAAACTGTAACTGAGCTGGTGACACAAACGAGGGGAGAATTCCCACCCGACCAGGGTACCCAGGGAGGGCTTCCTGGAGGAGGTGGTTTTTGTGTGGGTTGAGTTGAAAAAGATGAATGGAAGCTCTCCAGGGAGACAAAGAGGATGGGTGCTCTGGGAGGAGAGCAAACCACAAGCAAAGGCATGGGGGGTAGGGCAGGGGGGTGGGAAACAGCTTGGCCCATTTGTGAAAATGGAGGTAGCATGGCCAGAGGATGGGGAAAGGGTAGGTGATGAGGTAGGGATCTGATCATGGAGGGCCTTGGGAGCCCTAGGGAGGGTTTAGGACTTACTGTTAAGCAGTGGGAAGCCATTGAAGATTTAAGCAGGGAGCAAAACTTGTTATTTTACAAATATTTATGATAGTCGAGGGGAGAACCTGGTGGGAGGTGGGTTTTTTTTTTTTTTTTTTTTTTTGTTTTTTAGGTTTTTGAGACAGGGTTTCACTCTGTCACCCAGGCTGGAGTACAATGGCACCATCATGGCTCACTGCAGCCTCAAACTCCTGAGCTTAAGGGATCCTCCTGCCTCCATAGCTGGGACTGCAGGAACATGTCACCACTTGGGGAGGTTATTTGAACAGAGCAGGTGAGGGGTGGAGGGTGGAGAGGGCAGTGACACTGGGGAGGGAGCATCCGTAGGGCGTGGAACTGGCCAGATCTACCACCAAGATGCTTTGGGCAGCCACCAACCAAAGCCAGCTTCAACAAGTGGAACCAATGAGGACTTTCTTCCCCTTGCATTACAAAACAGCCAGACCTCAGGGGTAATGGAGGGGTAGGAGAAGAGGAAATTAGGAGAAAGTGAACATTTTGAAGGGAGAGGTGTGCGCTGTGCAAAGAAAACGGGCTGCGGAACCAGGCCCCAGAGAATAAGCATCTTCCAGGGGCAGGGAAGGGGCAGGTCCCAGAGCCGAGCTGGGCAGAGTGGCTGGAGGGGCAGGTGATGTCCTGCTCCCAAGAAGAAAGGCGGTAAGCAGTGTGGGGCACTCGGGAGGGCTGGCGAGGAAGAAAACACTGGATCTGGCCCCTGGGGCGCTCTGGTGGCTCAGGTGAGAGTTGTTTCCTCGAGTGCTGGGGTTGGGAGCCAGACTATGTGTCTGTGGGCTTTTGTGGCCCCACTTGGGCTCCTGTAATGAAAAGAGTGAGCAGTATCAGGACAGGAGGATCGTCATAGCAGGGACTGCGGACTGGGTGGGTGCACAGCAGCCCTGGGGTCCCTCCAAGGCCATCTGGCTGGTTGGCACCTTCTGTGTAGTGCCAAGCAGCGTGTAGGGGTGTATGTGGGGAAAGTGATGGGGAGGAAGGTGGCAAGGTATATGACAGGGCTGTGAGGTGCAACTGGGAAGGTCAGCATGAGGGGTGGCTCCAGGCCGGGTGTGCGTGCGTGTGCCTGTGTGTGCAAGTGCACGCCCTCGCTCACGATGGGGACCAATGAGCAGCTGAGGGCAGGGTCGGCAGGAATGAGCAGAGTCATCCGTGTGGAAACACGACTCCCCGGGTGCTATAGGGAGCAGCTGGAGAGCCAGGCACAGGGGCGTGTCCAGCTTTGCCCAATGGCTCTGGTCTCTTCCTGGCCGCCCTCCCCACCTGTTAAGCAAGCCTGAGAAGTGCCTGTGCCGACCAGGGTGGGGGTTTTGCTGCAGGCGTCAAGGCCCACTGGGAGAGGGCCGTCCTCGGGTGTGGCTTTGGGGGTGTCTGGGGGTCTGTCCAGGTCCCTGTGGTGCAGGGGTGGCTCCAGGTCTGTCCATGTGGATCTTGTGGTGGCTGTGTGTGGCTTCGGGGGTCTCTCTGCAACTGCCTGCTGATGTGATCATTCCCTAGGGTCATTTGCAATAAGTGATCCCCCTTCCCTTCCACAGGGAACAGTCTCTGGAGGGCTGGGCAGAAGGGGAGAGGGGTCAGGAGGGGCCCAGTCCATTCAGTGCTCACAGGCATCGAAGGCTCCTGGTGGGTGCCCCTTTCCCCCATCCAGCTCGTGCTGGGACCACCAGCCAAAAGCAGTCCCCAGGAGCTGTAGCCCTGCCCCCACCATTGGAGTCATCCATTTCCTTGTCTCTGTGACCTATCCCATATGTCCTTCTCTTCCATGTTAGCACCTGCAGTTCTCCAGACGCAATGTTCCTCCCCCAGCTCACCCTGCCTGCCCGGGGGGCTCCGTCCCCCAGGGCTGTGGGAGGCAACTGCTGGGAGCCCTCTGCTGGGCCCAGGGCCCTTCCTTCTTCTCTCTCCCAGACCAACACCAAGTACCCCAAAGATCAGGAAAGAGGAACCCACCCCACCCCCACCTTCCTTTTCCCCTCTCTCCAGGTCAGGGATGGCACACAGGCAGAGGCGCCCCTGGCAGACATCACTAATCAATCACAGCAACCTTTTTGCAAAGAGCCTGGCTGCCCCTTCATGGTCTCCACCTGCATCTCCAGGTGGCCAGTATCAGGATCCACACTGGCCCTCACGATGAAGTCCCTGTGCTAGTCCCACTTTAGTCTGACACCCCCTCCCCACCAGGCCCCTCATCCTGGCCCATTCAGAAGTCGCCTGAGCACAGCCAGCTGTGGCTCTCTCTGTCCTCTTAGGCTGAAGTCACACGGTTCCAGGAGCTCGGGCCCAGAAGGCAGTTGAAGGCACTGGGGCGTTGGCCCCATGTCCCAAGGCCCCAGAGAATCTGGTTGGTTTGCCGTCGGTCCTGGGAGCGGCCCCCGCCACTGCTAGGGAGAGCGTGGTGTGGGGCCAGGGGTGATGCTCTGTGCCCAGCACCTGTGCAGCAGCAGTACCTGGGCTTGGCAGGCACATCTCCCAGTCCCAACAGAGCCTGCACGCCCGCCTCCCCGGCTCGGCCGCTGGGCAGGCAGGAGGTGAGGAGGAGCCGGCCGGCCCAGGGAGGGGCAACTGCCCAGCACCCCGGGGCTGCCCATTGCAGCTGCCCCGGCTACCTGCCACCCTCCTGGTCTCTGAGCCCAGGATGCAAGGATGGCCAGACCGTCTCTGCCCACCCTGGTGCCTCTGGGCCCTGAGTGCCTGCGCCCCTTCACCCGGGAGTCCCTGGCAGCCATAGAACAGCGGGTGGTGGAGGAGGAGGCCCGGCTGCAGCGGAACAAGCAGATGGAGATTGAAGAGCCCGAGCGGAAGCCTCGAAGTGACTTGGAGGCTGGCAAGAGCCTGCCCATGATCTATGGAGATCCCCCGCCAGAGGCCATCGGCATCCCCCTGGAGGACCTGGATCCCTACTACTGCGACAAGAAGGTTTTGGCCTGGGAAGGCTCCCTCTGTCTGTCTGCCGTCCATCTGTCTATCTGTCCCCAGGCCTCACAGCCTCTCTCCCCACCTTAGACCTTCATCGTTCTCAACAAGGGCAAGGCCATCTTCCGCTTCTCCGCCACACCCGCTCTCTACATGCTGAGCCCCTTCAGCGTGGTCAGGCGAGGGGCCATCAAGGTGCTCATCCACGCATATCCTGCCCGAGAAGGGAGAGGCGGGAGGGGTTAGGGATGGGTGAGATGGGGTGCTCTGGGCCAGGAGGCCTGCCATCACCTCCCCTCCTAGCTGCTTTGTCACTCTCCTTGACCCTGCCCCACGCTGTTCAGCATGTTCATCATGATCACCATCTTGACCAACTGTGTGTTCATGACCATGAGTGACCCGCCTCCCTGGTCCAAGAACGTGGAGTGAGTCTCCCCCATCCCTGAGCTCCCCGGCCCTGGGATACAGCCCGTCTCAGGTGTCTGCACCTCTGCGTGACACTGCTCTTGTCTTTCAGGGAGACACATTGTCACCGTGACCCTCATCCACACCTTGAACCCCCGGGGTGGCCACACTATCACTCGCTAGTGTCCTTAGCCGCTTGGGTGGCATATCTTATTTCTGGGGGTCTGTCGTTGCCACAGTCACCCCTGCCCATGTGACATGCCTGCCCCGGCCGGCCCTCTCCCCGCCAGGTACACATTCACAGGAATCTATACCTTTGAGTCCCTCATCAAGATACTGGCCCGAGGCTTCTGTGTTGATGACTTCACATTTCTCCGGGACCCCTGGAACTGGCTGGACTTCAGCGTCATCATGATGGCGTGAGCAGGGTCCTGAGGACATCCCGAGCCTGGGGCGGGTGAGGGGAAGGGCCAGGCCTCAAAGAGGGCAGCTGCCTGTGCTGAGGGCTGCAGGGGACATTGGTCAGTTGTGCAGATAGGGAGCTGCACAATTCTAGAAGCTGCCATTCTCAGGGTCTGGCTCAGAGCTCTCCTGATGGCCTCCCGATCATCCCATGAATCAGCCCTGACCCGCAGGCCCGCAGGCCCTCACCCACTAGGAGAGCCGGGCTGTCTTTACCATCCCCACTCCCCCACAGCAGAGCTCATGCACTGTCCTTCCCAACTCCTGGGCTCCCAGAGGAGCTTGGAGGGTGTCTTACCTGTCCCCAGACCCTGTGGAACCCCCAACTTCTTGGGAATCATCATTCCAGGCCTGGAGAAGCCCTGATTTCTGCCCTACCACCCACCCCAGGCTCTGACAGTCCCCACCCTCCTCCACCTCCCTCCCAGGTACCTGACAGAGTTTGTGGACTTGGGCAACATCTCAGCCCTGAGGACCTTCCGGGTGCTGCGGGCCCTCAAAACCATCACGGTCATCCCAGGTACTGGGGAAGTGCAGGGAGCCTCTGCCTGAGCTGAGAGACGCCACCACCCCCACCCCCCACACCATGCGCCTGCCGGGAACCCGACTCAGGGTCACAACACTCCCCGGCTGAGAACTCAGCAAAGCCTGGACACAGAGGGGCCCACATGACCAGGGGGCAGAAGGGGTTCTACGTGGAAGAATGGCATTTGAGAGGCAGCATAGCAAGGTGGTTAAGAGCACAGACTCAGCTGGGTACGGTGGCTCACACCTGTAATCCCAGCACTTTGGGAGGCCAAGGCATGTGGATCAACTAAGTTTGAAACCAGCCTGGCCAACATGGCAAAACGCCGTCTCTGCTAAAAATACAAAAGTTAGCCTGGTGTGGAGGTAGGTGCCTGTAGTCCCAGCTACTCAGGAGGCTGAGGCAGGAGACTCACTTGAACCCAGGAGACAGAGGTTGCAGTGAGCTGAGATCATGACACCACACTCCAGCCTGGGAAAAATAATGAGATCCTGTCTCAAAAAAAAAAAAGCACAGATTCTGGAGCCTTGACTGCCTGGGTTCAATTCTCACCTCTACCACTTCCTAACTTTGCCTTTGGGCAAATGCCTCACCCGGTCTGTGTCTCAGTTTCCTTATCTGTAGAATGTGGAGACTAATGATACCACTCCTTGGTTTGTTGTAAGGATTAAATGTCTCAATGTCGGTAAGGCCCTCACAGCCCTTGACCCATAGCTTGTGATATATATGTGTGTGCTCAATAAAATAAGCATACCAAGCAGAGCAGAGAGAGACACGAAAGGACTCCATAAGGGAAAGTCCCAGCCCTGAGAGCTCAGTTAGGAACACACCACGCACCTGCTGACAATAAGGCCAGGGCAATTCCAGAGTAATGCATCAAGAAACTTGAGATTAATAGAATCCGATCATTCAGACCCACAAAAGAGCATGTGAAAAAAACTGGAGATGGCCCAGCAAAGGAGAGAAAGAAAAAGGATCAAGATCAGGCTCTGGAAAGAGGGGAAAATGTTAAATCCTAATGCCGCTGGGCGCAGTGGCTCACATCTGTAATCCCAGAACTTTGGGAGGCCAAGACGGGCGGATCACTTGAGGTCAGAAGTTCGAGACCATCCTGGCCAATATGATGAAAACCCATCTTTACTAAAAATACAAAAATTAGCTGAGTGTGGTGGCACTTGCCTGTAATCCCAGCTACTTGGGAGGCTGAGGCAGGAGAATCGTTTGAACCCAGGAGGCAGAGGTTGCAGTGAGCCGAGATCACACTGCTGCACTCCAGCCTGGGCAACAGAGCGAGACTCTGTCTCTAAATAAATAAATAAGTTTTTATTTATTTTAGTTTTTGTTTAAATACAGTTTTTGTTTATTTCTGCAGGGCTTTTCAGAGCCTTTGATAGGATAATCTACATAATGACCCTCCAAGAGCAGAATCTAGGGCGTAGCTTTTACCAAACTTTATCAACCCCCCCTTTTTAAGGGCACAGCATAGGAGATTACTGTTCTATCGAACACACTTTGAGAGTGCTAACCTAGTGACATGTAGTAAGCTCCTCTGTATGCCTTGGTTTGCTCTAGAGGTCAGACAACAGCCCATCAGTCTTTACAGTCCATTCTCCTAGTAGCTGAGCACCTGTGGCCATTTGCAGGCTCCAGATTGAGGATGTGATCAGAGAAGGGTGGGGTTAATTTTGGAAGGTTTCGGGGAAATATCGGTGCTCAATGAGTCAGGCCTTGGAGACTGAGTAGGAAAAAGCTTGGTGGTGGGAGCCGATGGGGAGGGGCTCTGTTTTCACCCTGCACTGCCCCCTGCCAATATCCTTGCCCTCTCCACGGTCAGGGCTGAAGACGATCGTGGGGGCCCTGATCCAGTCTGTGAAAAAGCTGTCGGATGTGATGATCCTCACTGTCTTCTGCCTGAGCGTCTTTGCGCTGGTGGGACTGCAGCTCTTCATGGGAAACCTGAGGCAGAAGTGTGTGCGCTGGCCCCCGCCGTTCAACGACACCAACACCACATGGTACAGCAATGACTCGTGGTACAGTAACGACACATGGTATGGCGATGCAATGTGGCACGGCAATGACTCGTGGTATGCCAACGACACGTGGAACAGCCGTGCAAGCTGGGCCCCCAATGATACCTTTGATTGGGACGCCTACATCAATGACGAAGGTAAGAATAGAGGGTGGACAGGCAAGGGGAACCTAGCGCAGCCTCTGCCCCTACTTCTTTTTTTTTGAGTTGGAGTCTTACTCTGTTGCCCAGCCTGGAGTGCAGTGGCGCTATGTTGCCCAGCCTGGAGTGCAGTGGCGCAATCTCTGCTGATTGCAACCTCCACCTCCCAGGTTCAAGCAATTCTCCTGCCTCAGCCTCCTGAGTAGCTGGGATTACAGGTGTGCACCACTATGCCCAGCTAATTTTTGTATTTTCAGTAGAGACAGGTTTTCACCATGTTGGCCAGGCTGGTCTCAAACTCCTGACCTCAGGTGATCCGCCCACCTCAGCCTCCCAAAGTGCTGGGATTACAGGTGTGAGCCACTGCGCCCAGCCCTGCCTCCACTTCTTATGAGACAAATAGGCCGGCGAGGACCTGAGCTTAAATCCAGCACTTGGTAGCCTGTGTCACTCCTGACAAGTCACTTGATCTCCCCAGCCCTCTGAATCCTCACCTATAAAATCAAGATAACTATCTTCCTCAAAGGGTTAGTGCAACAACAAATGGCAAACTGTTTTTAAAACCTTAAAGTGCCGAGCACAGTAGCTCATGCCTGTAATCCCAGCACTTTGGGAGGCTGAGGCGGGTGGATCACCTGAAGTCAGGAGTTTGAGACTAGCCTGATCAACATGTTGAAACCCCATCTCTACTAAAAATACAAAAATTAGCTGGGTGTCGTGGTACATGCCTGTAATCCCAGCTACTTGGGAGGCTGAGGCAGGAGAATCACTTGAACCCAGGAGGCGGAGGTTGCAGTGAGCCGAGGCTGTGCCATTACACTCCAGCCTGGCAACAAGAGTGAAACTTGGTCTCAAAAAAAAAAAATCCTAAAGTTCTCACTATACAAAGCAAGCGTCTATAGTTCCTTCTCCCTAACCTGTGCACTCCCTGTCCTCCTTCATCACAGCACGTGCTCACACCCTGGCAGGGTCACAACCACCCCCCAACATACCCACATCTTATTTACATATGCATCTGCACAGGTACACACGCCAGAAACACACACATTCTCACACAGCCACTGTTAGTCTACACAGTGCCTTCCTGCCAATTAGGAAAAGGTGACCCTTCTCACCCTGGCACTTGGATTCCAGCCTCCACTCGCCCTTCACTCAGGGGCCCTGCACAGATTCACAGCAGCCCTATGCACACATGTACACGTCCCCTCTTTATGCTGCTGCTGTGTCCTGACTTTACGTCCACACCGGGCACTGAGCGGACAGTGCTTGCAGCTGAGCTCCCTGCCAAGTCCCTGCCAGAGACCTTGGAACTTGGTACTGTCCTTAAAAGAAGGGGCAGAGGCAGCCAGGGATCATCTGTTTTGTTTATGTGGTACACACAGACCTGTTCACAGGTGTGCAGTGAGTGCACGTGCTCACACTGTGTCCATGTGGGTGACTTGCCTCCTTTGTGGCCTCTGACTCCCAAAGGGAACTTCTACTTCCTGGAGGGCTCCAACGATGCCCTGCTCTGTGGGAACAGCAGTGATGCTGGGTGAGTGGGGCTAAGGGATGGGGAAAAGGCGCCCTAGGGGTCTTGGAAGGTGGGAATTGATTCAAGGCGAGGACCTGGGGTGGACAGGAGTGCGGGGAAATTGTGGGCATGGATGGAATACTTTTCTGTTTGGGGGACACAGGCAGAACTGAGGGATTCTTTTTTTCCCTTGGGGTCCCCATCTGTCCCCAGCTGGAGTGCTCCTCCCACCCTAAACCCAGCCCCCTGTCCTAACCCTAGGCACTGCCCCGAGGGTTATGAATGCATCAAGGCCGGGCGGAACCCCAACTATGGCTACACCAACTACGACACCTTCAGCTGGGCCTTCCTGGCTCTCTTCCGCCTCATGACACAGGACTATTGGGAGAACCTCTTCCAGCTGGTACAGCTGCCCCCATCTTGCCCCCCAACCCTACAGCCACCCAGCCTCTTCAGGGCCTGACGGGGCCTACTGCAGGATGACCAACCCCCCAGCTGGGCCATCTCCTCATGGGCTCCCACACTGCCCTTATAGGAGCTGGGTGCCCTCTGAAACTGGGCACCTGCCCCGAGCCAAGCCATGGTTTTAATTCTTTCCAAACTTTGCTTTCAGAGCCGAGGTCCAGGTCTAGCATAGCCACACGCCCCGGAACCTCCAGGCCTTACAATAAGCAGTAGGGCAGCTTAGAAATTCAGTGCTCCCCAAACTTTATTTGCCTTCTGCCATTTGCAGGGAAGGCAGGCTGAGTCTGGAGTGATAGTGCCTTCTGATGCCTGGTGACGTTTCTAACATTGATGTTGATAACAACAACAGAAATAATAACAACAATAACAATAGCTACTAGCTGGGCGCAGAGACTCACGCCTGTAATCCCAGCACTCTGGGAGGCCAAGGCAGGTGGATCACTTGAAGTCAGAAGCTTGAGACCAGCCTGACCAACATGATGAAGCCCCGTCTCTACTGAAACAAATGCAAAAATTAGGCGGGTGTGGTAACATGTGCCTGTAATCCCAGCTACTTGGGAGGCTAAGGCAGGAGAATTGCTTGAACCTGGGAGACGGAGGTTGCAGGGAACCGAGATCGTGCCACTGCGCTCCAGCCTAGGGGGGTGACAGAGCAAGACTCCATCTCAAAAAAATACAAAATACAAAAATACAAAATACAAAAATTAGCCAGGTATGGTGGTAAACACCTGTAATCCCAGCTACTCAGGAGGCTGAGGCAGGAGAATCACTTCAATCTGGGAGGTGGAGGTTGCAGTGAGCCAAGATCATGCCACTGCACTCCAGCCTGGGCAAAAGAGCAAGACTCCATCTCAAAAAAAATTGATTAAATAATAATAATAGCTACTATTTGTTGAGTTCTTACACAGTGCCAGGCACTGTGACAAAGCTAGAATTCAAGCTGACCCCAAACCCATGTTCACCAACTTTCTGTCCTGGCTCCCTGATATCAGTATGCCTGGCTTCGGTCCTCCTCTGGGCCAGGAGACCAGAAATGCTTGAGTCTCAAGTAGATATTTTGAAGTTCCCCAGAACATGGCTCAGTGTGCCAATGATGGCCATCAATTCCCCAGGCTCGGTGAGGGAGGGGTTTTGCTTACCCATCCAGGCAATGGGTGTATGGAGAGGGGCAGTGGGTCAAAGGAGGTGAATGCCATGGGACCCCTCCACTCCCTCTCCCCCCACTCCCAGACCCTTCGAGCAGCTGGCAAGACCTACATGATCTTCTTCGTGGTCATCATCTTCCTGGGCTCTTTCTACCTCATCAATCTGATCCTGGCCGTGGTGGCCATGGCGTATGCCGAGCAGAACGAGGCCACCCTGGCCGAGGATAAGGAGAAAGAGGAGGAGTTTCAGCAGATGCTTGAGAAGTTCAAAAAGCACCAGGAGGAGATGGAGAAGGTCTGGACCCCAGGGCTCTCCCTGCCCTCAGCTGGGGCTGCCCGGCCACTGGCTTCTCCCTGGGGGGCTGAGGGTGAGAGAGGGCATGGGGGTAAGGGTTTTGAGGCAAAAAGGGCAGAAAGCCCCAGCTGGGAGCTTTGCTAGTGGGGGAGGAGGACATCCAAGCAGTAGAAAAAGCATTTATCTGTTCTGTGCCTCAGTTTCCCTGTCTATAACAAGGAATCTGGAGTAGCTAAACCCAAAGTATTTTTCCAGCTCAGACATTTCTGGTTTCAAGATGCTTTCTGGGCAGCGGATGGGTCCACACTGAGGGAAGGGCTGGTCCTGATGAAGCCCCAGTGAGCGGCTGACCATTTTCTCATTCTCTCATCAAGTGGAGGGTTCGTTGGGGCATAACAGTCAAGGGTCTTCAGAGAAGAGGGTCTTCAGACACTTTGGTCCCTACCCTGTCATCCCCACCACCACATTAGCCTGTCCCTTCCCCACCTGCAGTAAGTTTGACACACCCTGAAGGACTCTGAGGGTCAATTAGTCTATCCCACTGGCTCAGAGCTGGATTCCTGCCTGTCACTCTTGCTGGTCTACAGGCCAAGGCCGCCCAAGCTCTGGAAGGTGGAGAGGCAGATGGGGACCCAGCCCATGGCAAAGACTGCAATGGCAGCCTGGACACATCACCAGGGGAGAAGGGAGCCCCGAGGCAGAGTGGCAGCGGAGACAGTGGCATCTCTGACGCCATGGAAGGTGAGTGCCTTGCGTCCCTGTGCCCACTTAGGTAGTGTGGGGCCTGGCTGGCCTGGATTCAGGAGAACAGGGATGCCATGGAATGTGAGTGCCCTGTGCCCCCTCTATCCATTCAGGCTCCTGAGGTCAGGGTGGATCCTGGCTGGACTGGCTTCAGGACAGTAACTTAATATTGGCACAGAAGAAACAGCTGTGATAAATATAGACCTGCCTTAACCTGGCCCAGTTCTAGCTGCAAGGCCAGGCTGCTGTGGGAAATGGGGGCTTCCGGGAGGGCCTTGGGGGTTGCCCAATGGGAAGCATAAGTTAATAATACTAACCAGAAGGCCCAATGTTCTGGAAACTGGACATCCTGCTCCTCAAGTGTTCTCTGGGTAAAAGTTAAAGGTCAAAAGTCAGATTCTGCCCAACCAGAATCCCCAATCCCTGTGCCACCCACTGAATCTCAGAATAAGAAGGATGTGATGAGAGAAGGTGAACAGACACAACACGATGGATGGATGGGTAATAGATGGATGGACAGACAGCCAGCCGGATGAACAGATGGATGGATGGATGGATGGACACATGGACAGACAGACAGATGGATGAATGGTTGAATGGATAGATGGATGGATGGATGGACAGACGGATGGATGAATGGACAGAGAGATGGATGGATAGATAGATGGACAGACAGATGGATAGAGAGATAGATGGATGTATAGACAGATGGACCAATGGACCGGTGGATGGATGGATGGATGAATGGATGGACAGACAGATAGACAGACAGATGGCTGGATAGATAGATGGACAGATGGATAGACAGATAGATGGATGGATAGACAGGTGGACCGATGGACTGATGGATAGATGGATGGGTGGATGGAAGATGGATGGATGGATGAATAAATGGATAGATGGATGGATGGACAGATGGATGAATGGATGGACAGACAGATGGATGGATGAGAGGGAGGAAAGTGTGGAAGCAGGAGGGAAGGAGGAAGCACAGGAAAGAGGGACGATAGGATAAAGGAATTCTGACTCAGAGAGATCTGGTTCCATCCCCAGATCAGCCTGCCTTGTGCCACGGGGTTGGGGGCCCTGCAGGACTTTGCAGATTTCTAGAGGGCACCATGTCACCTGACCTTGTATGACAGGCATCCAGGTGCCCATATACCCTGCCAGAGAGTGTCCAGGGAATGCTGGGGGAGGAGGCCTCTCCACCCTGCCGTTGCCGGGACTGCTGTGAGAAGTTTTGGGCCTCAGACCCTGTTTGGGCACCTGCAGAAGCACAGGGTAGGGGTGGAGGTGCAGGCTGGGGAGGTTTTGATTGAGGCTCAGTGTGCTAATTGCTGGGTATAGGGGATTCAGCCACTCACACCCCTGGCATGAACCCAGGGTCTCCAATGGGTTGCCACCCACCCACCCACTCCAGTCCCTTTTCTTCCTCTTTGAAATTGGAGGCACTGATTGCATTTACCAGGTAAACCTGCCTTGATGAATAAGTGAGATTATGCCTGGCCAAGGACACTCCTGTAGGACACCAAGGCCAGGAAGAGGAGGAGCAGTTTCGTCCCATGGTCCTTGCACAGCACTCATGGCTTTGGTGTGGCAAGAACAGGGAGTGTTTCCAGAAGGCAACACTGGTGGGAAAGGATGGATTGGCTGGGGACACTTCGGAGGGGCTGGTATTACCGACAGTGCATCCCCGAGGGATCTGTCTGCAGGGTGGCGGCGGCCAGCAGCACGTGGGGCTGGAACCCAAGCCCCTGCCGTGGCCTCCCGCCTCTTCCTGGGAACGCGGACCCAGACAGATTAGGGCATATCTAAGGCCAGGCTCGCAGTGCAGTCCCAGGCCTCTGGCAGGGGGTGGACGTCCTGTCTAGTTCCCCACCCTGAAGGGGTGGGGCTTTGTTGGGGGTTAGCCAAGAGAGAGAGACTTGAGGCAGGGCATTGAAAGGCAGGGTTAGGGGAAAGGTTTGCCGAGGAGGTGGGCCTGTGAGTTACTGTACTAAGGGGCAGGGCTTTGGGAGGAGGCGGGGCTTCTTCGGGGGCGGGGAATGTGGGTGGGGTTTAGAGGGGACAGACTTGAGGATGCGCTCTGCGAGAGGGAGGAGCTTGATGCCAGGGGTGGGTCTTTGAGGAGGCGGGGCTTTGGGGAACAAAGCTGTGGGCGGAGTTTAGGGAGGTGGGTCCGGAGGTTGATGCAGTGAGTGGTGGTGAAGCTTGGAGTAGGGGGCGGGGCTCTGGGAACGCGGGTTGGGGGGTTCCAGGGGTGGGACTGTAGTTGGGGGTTAGAGAGCGACGTCTGGAGGATGCTCACTGAGGCGGTGGAGCTTGGAGCTGGCCACGCTAGGGGGCGGGGCTTTGGGGTAAATCCACGTGGGGCGGAGGTTGCAGGGAAGGTGTCAGTAAGGGTGACGCAAGAGGTGGTGGAACTTGGAAGAGGCCTTGCTAGAGCGTTGAAGCGTTGAGATGTGGAGCGCTAAGGGGCCGGGTTTGGAAGGTGGAACCAAAGCTCTAGGTGGAGCCGGGGGCACGTGAGGTGTGAATCCTCACCAGGTGCCTGCTACCACTCCTCTCCCAGAACTGGAAGAGGCCCACCAGAAGTGCCCGCCATGGTGGTACAAGTGCGCCCACAAAGTGCTCATATGGAACTGCTGCGCCCCGTGGATGAAGTTCAAGAACATCATCCACCTGATTGTCATGGACCCGTTCGTGGACTTGGGCATCACCATCTGCATCGTGCTCAACACCCTCTTCATGGCCATGGAGCATTACCCCATGACGGAGCACTTTGACAACGTGCTCACCGTGGGCAACCTGGTAGGGAGGAGCAGGGGAGAGGGATCATTCATGGGCAGGACGGGAGGGGATGGGGCCCAGGATGGCTGTCTGGCTGTGTGCAAATATGGGTCACGGTGGGGGACACATGCGGACAGCTGGGATTATTTTCCCATCATATGGGGGCATGAGTTGATATGGGGGAGTACTTGGGGTGATCTGTGGTACATAGAAGTGGGGCTTCAGGATATTTGGGGGCAGGGAGAGTGAGGTGAGGTGCTGGGCTTCTTAAGGTCCAGACTCTTGGGGATCTGGGGTCCAGACCATGCCCTGGAAGTAGGGGAAAGGAAATGGGGGTATGGAGATGGGATGAAGGGGCTAGGTGACAAGTCTGTCCACTTCCAGAAGTTGTCACGGTCCTGAAAGGAGCCAAGGGATCTGGCAGTGGGACCTATAGCTCTGGCTTCCGAGGCCCAGTGGGCCCCAGGAGCTACTCCCCCAGCCCTCACCTATTTCTCCAGTGTGGCCAGGCACCTCCCCTCTCCAGCCCTTTTCCGCTCCACTATTGTTGACACCGCTGATCCACCCGCTTATCCGGGCCCATTAGGAGCATTATCACCTTGTTGCCAGCCCCAGAGGAGGCTGACAAAGGGAAAAGCCGCCTCCTCCTCCAGCCCTGCCCCACCCTTCCCAATTCCCTTTACAATTTTTCCAGGACAGCAAATGGGCGAGATGCTTCCCAACCCTGAAGGTTAGGGGAAGCCAGGGAGAGTAAGATTTGGGGTCTAGGACAAGACCAGGGCTGGGTGGGTGGCACAAGAATCAAACCCTGGGCTCCCCAGCCTTTGAGGCAGGCATGTCTGTCCCATATAGCAGCCGAGGCAGCCGTGGCCATGCCAGGCTGGAGGGGCAAGGGCGTGCTCTGGACTTGTGGCACAGCTGCTGGGATGTGCATGATGGACCAGGCCCGCCTGCCAGCCCACCCCCTGCCCACACTATGCTGCTGTCTTGGCACCTGCTGTGTCCAGAGACAGCCTCTGGGAGGGGCTCAGCATGTGCCTGGGCAGGCTGTGGACCAAGGGCAGCTGGTGCCCGGCAGGAGGGGGGCCGTGCCTAGGGAGCTTTCAGGGACTGTGCAATCCTCAGACCCCATGTCCAGGGTTGGCAGAGCAGCTCTGGCTGCCTTCTTGTTGATTTTGCCCCTTTTGGCCCCTGTCTTGGCAGACCTTTGAGTCCACCAAGATTTGCAGGGTCCTGGGACTGGCCCCTGTGGAGAGGGTGTGGGCACAGAGACAGGATGCTGAACTGAGCCCCTGAGAACTGGGCTTGAGATGTGGCTCCTTCCCATGTGGGTGCTGTGATGCCAGCTAGCTGCCTAGCTTGCTGAGTCTCAACTGCTCATGCATGGAATGCATGTGAGAATCCCTCCCAACGTTGTAGAGATCAGGATACTAATGAGGTCACAAAGTGAACCACAGAGTGCCCTGCAAACATTGAATATTGTGACAGGGCTGGGGCTCTAAGCAGTGAAGTGCCTTGCCCACTGTCATGAGGCCAGAAATGGATGGGAGCGGGTCTCAGAGCTATATCCACCTCTGCCCTATGGCTTGACCGTTGCCTCCATTACTCACACACACACGGGCCATGTGTGCCACTCCTGCCCCTTTCAGGGCTCTGGACCCCTTTCCCCTCAGCCCCTGCAGCCTCTGCCAGGAGGTGAGTGAGTGTTGGGTGGGAGACTCCCAGGGCCCTGGGCTCCCCAAGGCTCTGTGACAGGGCTTCACCTTACTGCTCCCCAGGTCTTTACAGGCATCTTCACAGCAGAGATGGTTCTGAAGCTGATCGCCATGGACCCCTATGAGTACTTCCAGCAAGGCTGGAACATCTTCGACAGCATCATCGTCACCCTCAGCCTGGTAGAGCTAGGCCTGGCCAACGTACAGGGGCTGTCTGTGCTCCGCTCCTTCCGTCTGGTACTCGAAAGCCCTGGGGCCAGGGGCTGGGATGGTGGTGGGCTGAGCAGACTAAGGAGGGTGGGCATAGGGATGGGAGGAGAAACCCCAGGAAGCCGGAGGGCTGAAAACAAGGTCCCCTCTGCCTGTGCACGCCTGTTACCTCTCAGAACCTTTCTAACCTGTAAAACAAGGAAAAGGAGTGCCCTCTCTCCTTTCACAGGGCTGCTGGGGGGACCGAAGTGACAGAAGCCAACACTGGGTTTGATTCTTTAATGACCTTGGGCAGCAGTGGAGCAGGAACTGCAGCCCCATTCTGCAGACCTGGAAACGGAGGCTCTGCAAGTTCATTAGGAGTAGGAGTGGGACCTCGGAACTTGTGTCTTTCCACTACTCCGTAAGGAGCACTGTTATTCTTTTTAAAACTTTATCGGCTGGGCACAGTGGCTCATGCCTGTAATCCCAATACTTTGGGAGGCCGAGGCAGGTGGATCACCTGAGGTCAGGAGTTCAAGACCAGCCTGGCCAACATGGTGAAACCTGTCTGCTAAAAATACAAAAATTAGCTGTGCATGTGGCGAGCACAGCTGTAACTATGGTCTCAGTTACTTGGGAAGCTGAGGCAGGAGAATTGCTTGAACCCGGAAGGTAGAGGTTGCAGTGAGCTGAGATGGTGCCACTGCATTCCAGCCTGGGTGACAGAGGGAGACTTCATCTTAGAACAACAACAACAACAACAAACTTTATCAAGGGACCTTTCATGCATGCACAAAAGTATAGAGAAAGTATAATGAACCTCCAGTACCCATCACCCAGGTTCAACAACCATCAACAACATTCTACATTTCCTGTTGCATCTGTCCCCCAATTTTTATTGTAAAAGCAAATTCCAACATACAATTTCACCTGTAAATACTTTAGTCTGTATTTTTTTTTTTTTAGACAGGGTCTCTCTTTCACCCACGCTGGAGTGTAGTGGCACAATCACTGCTCGCTACAGCCTCGACCTCCCCAGGCTCAAGCGACTCTCCCACCTCAGCCTCCTGTATAGCTGGGACTACAGGCACACAGCACCACGCCTAGCTAATTTTTGTATTTTTTGTAGGTCAGGGTTTCGCCATGTTGCCCAGGCTGGTCTCCAACTCCTAGGCTCAAGCAATGCACCTGCTTCAGCCTCCCAAAGTGTTGGGATTACAGGTGTGAGCCAGGGCTCTGGCCATAGTCTGTATCTTTAACAGATAAGGACTTTTCTTTTCTTTTTCTTTTCCTTTTTTTTTTTTTTTT